GCTTTTCATTACATGCAGTTATTATTTGCCTCTCTCCAGGCACTACCAAACACATTGCTATGGATAGTTTCTGCCTTTACAGGCCTGGAATCGCAAATTCAGAGATACTTTTTTTTTTCCCCAATTGTTAAAAGGACTAGACTCTAAATCAGGTTTGCTAAGGCACAGTATAAGAAATGTAAAAATTCCATATTCCTACTTTAGTTAATACATGGGAAAATACTACTGACACACACATTTATTTTCTACATTTATGTCTCTTTCACTTTTAATTCTTTAAATACGTAAATATGAGTTGCAATATCCAAAGCAAGTTTCATTTAAAAAGAACATAATTAAGAAATGGTAGAGAGATGGTGACTTGTAGAGAATTGGCACTTAGACATTGGTAATGACAATATGTTTAGAAGTTGGTGAAAATGCTATGACTAATTTTATATAAGAGCTGTCATGTTTTGAATGACACTTGTTAGTGAAATGTTAAGAGAATTCCTTTACTAGATAATATTTTTTGTGGATTTAGCTTTTTGGTCAGTTTTGTTTGAATTTCCTGTTGCATTCTTAACATGACCTAAACTCTAGATATGCTAGAATTAACTTATAATCATCATTCGTAGAAGAGTTAAAGTTACCATTCCCACCTGGGAAAAATCTTTAAAGTAGGCTAAATGGCAGTGCTTCCTAGTCAAATCAACTTAATGTTTTAAAGATTTTTAAGAAAAATTTCAGATCATTCTCTGTTTTCCCACCACGACACTTATTATGAGATTTAAAGCAGCTCTGAAATCATGATGTCACTTCACACGTTTCAGCCTTGCTACCCCAGGCCTCCATCTTTCTTACTATGGTGACAAAATAAATGCGCAGTAACATTGGTCAGTGGTTAATGCTGGGGAAAACAAAGACCTAGCACACCAAGACTGTCCATGTACTCTATTAAATGCTTTCTTCTCCCTCTCACCATTCGAATGGGCAAGGCTTAGGCTCACAGAGCCGTCTGACTTGCAAGAACAAAACTGAATCAATAATCTGGACTGTGACAGCATCTGTGCTATTGTTATCTTTGGGCACAAAAATGTTTTTCAATATGAGTAAGATATACTGTAGCTTAAGTTCAGATGCACATTAAGGGCTTAAGTGCTGACAGTTATCACTAGTTGACAGTGGAGGCAAGGAAAGAAAAATTATTTAAGTTCTCCAGGAAATAGAAGCATGCTTGTGTGCTTTAATGTGTTTGATGATAAGTAAGGGTTAGGTAGTCTTAGAGTCTAAGCGTCAGTATTCATTCAGCAAACATTTATTGAATACCTAAGTAATTTTCCTTTATTTCATTAATATCTGTTTGTCCTAGCAGCACAGGATTTAAGGTAGCTGAAACTTATTATATTCCAAACTAACTTGGTGGTAGGTACTAGAAACAAAGAATAAGAGCCATTTCTTGCCTCCATGGATCACATTTCTTGGGAATATGAATTTCTAGGGAAATAAGCTCCTGCCCTCATCTACAGGATTTGAAAGGAAATTAATTTCAAATAAGAAATATTTTACATTAAAAGAATGTTCTTGGGAATTCCCTGGCAGTCCAGTGGTTAGAACTCGGCGCTTTCAATGCAGTCGCCTGGGTTCAATCCCTCGTCAGAGAAGTGAGATCCCGCAAGCCATGCAGCACAGCCAAAAAGAAAAAAAATGTTCTCATGGGTTATGAGCCCTGCCAATAATGCAGGAGGGTTGCATGGGGTGGGGGGTGGCGGGGAGAAGAAAATAGAAGAAAAAAAAAAACTGTCCAGATTATATTTCATATAAGTAAAATACACAATTTTGATAAGGCATAACTAGTATATTTACAAGAGTGGCAAAGGGAGTTTAATGTTGCACCGACAAAGTACCTCATAGTCTCGTTTGATATATCATGAGTACATCTCTCATCCTCCTTTACTATAAAGTCAAAAAAGGAAGTCACCAGTCTCAAAAAAGAAAAGCACAGCTCTTAATATCATGGGACATCTAATTTATATTCTAATAGTAAGACTATGTATTGGTAAAATGAATTCACTTCTAATATTTTCACATTACTGATAACATAGACAAGGATTATTGGTGGCCACAAATAATTTGTGGCCACACACACAAAATCCAAGTCCAGGGTGGCAAACTTAGAATCTGCATATCAAAAAGGTATTTGCCCGACAGTGTTTTCTATGTAGGCTATTAACAAAACTACATAGAAACTACATCTAAAAATATATAGTATTATATTTCCCAACCCCCTAAATGCTACCCATAATCAACTTCCAAAAAACAGTAGAGGGAAAAGAAATCTGATGAAATCAAGGTGGTAGGTTTTTAAAAATGAATGATAATCTGATTGCTGAATGTAGATAGCATGGAAGGGATTTTCCCATCCCTTGGTTTAAAAAAAAAATGTCCAGGTGAAAGTACAAAGGCAATGAGAATTAACCAACAGGAAAAAAGGGTCCAACCACCGATACACATGTGATGCTAGCAGGTGAAGCAGAGATCTTGAGAGGGTGCAGCAGGTGCTAACCTTGGGTAAAGAAGGTGCTAGAATGACCTTCACCTTGCCAACTCTTCAACCCATTTTGATGTTTCTATAAGGAGTCTCATGTGCTTTTAGCACAACAGGGGAAGGGCTAGGCCTTGGAGTCCTCGGTTGACAAAGACCTCTAGGGGACTCCACTGTATTTCAAAGAGCATGAAAAACCACTTATCAAACTAAAAACAGAGTCCTAATACTGTTGAAACTAAACCTATATGTAGAAGGGATCTTGTTAAGAATCTAGCCCAAATCCAATCTAAGAGTCCCTTTCATAGCATTTAGGATGGGTTATTTTAGCCTTTGGGCATTTGCAGCAACTGGAAGTTTTACTGTTTGAGTCCATTCCTCTTTAGAACAACTCTTATTACAAAGTTCTTTCTTATATTGAAGCAAACATCTGTCATCTATAAAGCTCCTCTTTTTGCCCTTTGAAGCAACACAGGAGAAGTCCAATTCCTCTCCCCTTTTATAGCTCAACAGAGATTTCAAGGCAGCTATTGTATCATTCCCTCTTTTTCCCTTTCCAGCTATACCTTCTGTTCTTCAGAGGAAGTATTCCCCTATTCCATGTATAATCACACTCTCCACAACCCTGGCCACCTGACTGGACACAATCAATTTATTAACATCTCTCTTAAAATGTGGTTCCCAGAATTGAACCCAGCCCTCCATCCAGATGTGGACTGACCAGTGCAGCATGCAGGACTCCCTAGACTTCTGTTACCACAGGCTGAATGCATTAGTTTTGTGAATAGCTATGATATACTCCCGATTCAAAACTGAACTCACATTTCCCCAAGAAAACATTTTATACAAAAACTGCTGTGAAACCAGGACTTTCCAACACCCTTCCCATTAACACACAGGTGAACACACACATCCGTACACACACAGGTACCCCATTTTGTACTTAGTGGGTTGCATTTAAGAAACTCAGAATATAGAGTTTCTCATTAATGCCTATTTAATTTCATCCTTTTAGTTTCAGTCTTATGTTCAGGTATTTCAAAAAATTACAATGATTTCTATATCCTAATGTCAATACACAGAATTCAGTGAATATTCACAGAATGAACTAATCCCAAATCTGCCAGTCAACAGACTAGTTATATGTCTATTTCTATGTCATCTATAAATCAGATAACCCTTACTCTATTCTTCATGGGAGAAACAGGAAGGCAGGTAAAAGCTGCCTTTCAATTGTTGAGCTCGTATCCTCTTTGGGATGCAGAGGTACAGAATGTGAGCTGGAACAGATGAAGAGAAAGAATATTGAGTGTCCTAGATTCTTGGAATCAGGATTTAATGTTCCCAACATTAGAAAAATATGGCTTTCCCTCATCTCTACCCTAGAGTGTTCTGCCTTTTAGATCTGTTACAATACTGTGATTATCAAACTCTGAACTTTTAGGAAAAGCTCATACAAGCTCAGTTTTGAAACAGCTTTTAAAATGATCTTCTCAATTTATATTTCCTGTAAAGTTTGAGTTAAAGAGACACGCAGCTGTCTATTGGCTGTGAGGTATAAAGAGAGTTCCCAAATGCCCCTGACAAATGCCTGAGATATATGTATCCATCTGTTTCAGGAATCAGAAATGGCCTATATTTTTCAGTGTGAATTTGGAAATTCACTGAGATTTAAGCTGTCTCCTGAATTGAAGATCATCTTACAATGAATGTTCTTTTTCCCCAGAATGAAGAAAAGTAAGCTCAATTTTGCTTTCCCTTCAGTAGCCACTCTTTGCAGAATGTGGGGCTAATCACAGAATTTAGAAGTGTTCTCTTCTGCCTTTTTTCCATTGTCTGTTGTGACTCAGGGTGATGAACTCTGGGACTGATGCCTTAGAAAGATGGAAAAAGTGTTTCAGTCAACACTATCTAGAACCAGGAGGGAAGCATCTCAAAAACTTCTGTTGCATAGTGTTAACAGTTGAAGAATGGAGACACCTATGAAAGGTCTAGCAGACCCAAAGAGGAAATCGGTTTTGTACCTTTTCTCAACTTTTTCTAAGGGGAGTGACAGAGATGGAGTCTTAGTTAATTAACTTCTCAAGATTGTTTTCCAGAAACTGATGTAAGTGACAGATGAACATCGGAAGGAAATCATGCCAACAATGGTGTTGGGAGTTTCTTTTCCTGACTTTATCAGTCACAAACCATACCCAAGTGCTGTGAGATAAGCAGAGTGGAGATGGAGGGGAGGCTTAATTATACAGTAAGCTCCAAAAAGTCAGGTGACGCAGGTGCTTCAGGCATGATCAGAGCCTCTCCAAAGCAAGCACCTTAGGGCTTCCTGTTAGAATACAGGTAACTACAAACAGGGAGGTCCAATACACTGTTCCCAACATGGAGTAGCCATGGTAGGCAGTGCCTTGAACTTCAGCTATTCAGGTAGACATCCTGTCGTGATGCTTAGGTCAGGGCCCCCTGCAGTAGGGCTTCATCACTGGACCCCACACTCCTTGGGATTTTCCATTTCATCTCCTTCAAAGTCTGGCTTCAAACTCTTTTTTTGCTCAATTTCCACCTGTCAAGAATAGAAGTTGGAGAGAAATATCAGGAAAACATCCCAACAAATAAATAAACCAAAAGAGAAAACCTCACTAGGTTCTTTGAGAGTCCTTGTAATTTGGTTAATATTCTGGGCTTTAGTCACACCAAGCTACTGGCCGTGTGTATATTATGGCTCTGTCTTTGCACATACCCTTTGCTTGGTCTGGAATTCCTCTCCCTCTCAGTCCACCTGGAAAATTCTTATTCTTTGCCTTATACAGCTACTCAAAGGTCACCTCTTCTGTGAAGCTATTCGTGACTCACCAGGTAGAGTCAGGTGCTCCCCTGTGTATATTCCCACTACACCCTGTACCCGCTACACCACAGACTTCGTAGGACAGGGCAGGCCCTTGTTCACTATTGTACCCCAATAATATGGGCATACAGCAGGCAATCACAAAGGTTTATCAAATGAATGAATTCCTTTGCAGCTGGCTCTTTACACTCTCCGTTATTTTATCCCTTTAAAAAGTCCCCAAATGGATAAGTATTGTAGTGTTTACGGTTCTGCCTATATCTTTTGGAAAATACTGTAGCTGTAACTGTAAAGAGATTAATAAATTAATCTTGCCTTGAGAGTGATACACCTCATCTGAAGCCTTTGATAAATCAGGCAGGGAATCCTTTGAGCTGAAGGAGTTTCATAATTAAAGCCGCTCTTCTCAATACCACTTGGATATTTATGATGAGGGAAACAATTCAAGACAGAACAGCTGACTAGGGTCATGTTTGAGGAAAGTGCTGGGTTTTTTCCTGGCCACAAGATGGAGTATTTGTTCTTTTTGGTAGTTTAATGTTTTAAATCACACAAGTAAGGAAATATTTAAAGAACAATTAAATGATCATATAAATCTAAGGATGTTATTACACATAGAAAATTATGAAACCACTTTGCCAACTCCTTCTTCAGTAACCCCCTGTTTTCCGTCTTTGGCATATAATCTTCTCCTACTGAATCTCTAACTACTCAGGATACAATCACTATTTGTGTCGGAAATCTCCAACTTCATTTCCTCCTTCATAGCCCTGATCCCGGTACTATTACAGAAGCTTGCCTGGCTTTTGAGTTTGTCCAGTTATAGCCCAGTGACCAGGTTGTATGACTTGGTATATGTCACACTTCACTGTGACATACTGTCATACTGTCATTAGTGTCATACCTCACTATGTAAACTTCATTCAGATCCACTTCATCAATACCTGTAGCTGAAATATATGCTTTGGGTTAGCATTTTCCTGACCCTCTCTCTCTCCACTTCCAAACTCACTCCCCTGCACATAAATTATATGACAAATGAGTAATAATAATCCCATTACCCCATTACTCTGTTGTTGTTCATGATGACTGAAAGACATTATATACTCCTCCTTCATCAGCCTGTACTTCTCTTTCCAACCCTTCTCTTGCCTGCTAGAGAGATTATTCATTTAACTCAGAGCAGACTCAACCACAGCTATGCATGGTAAACCGCCTGCAAGGTGGTAGGAGAATACCCTGCACCCTGGGCAGGCACTGCTAAAAGGAATGAGAAGGGGGAGGGCATGGGGGTGCACAGACAAACATGGAAACATTAGGCAGATGCCTCCCGAGGCTACCTTGTAGCTGTAGTGTGCAGAATAATTGACCCACTTCCTGACGTCGGTCTTGTCTTCCACAGAGATGGATCTTACGGCAGCTTTGGAGGCAGAAGTTGTAGGCATGCTGAACTCGACGCTAATGTGATTGGCAAATCTGGAAGGCACTTCCCGGTCAGAGCCAAGTTCAAGATGGCAGAAGAAACAGTGTGGGTGACCAGAAGCTATGAAAGAAAAAGAATCTAGGGTTCAGGTTCTTCGGGGAGGAAGTGGAAGAGCCTCAGTAACAAACTAAAGGAGGCCTGGCAGTCTTTAAGAGCATCCAACTCTGAGCAGAGGATCTGCCTCGGCAGAAATCACACTGCACGTGCTTCAGACCCTTTGACATAACACTATCTGACTACAGTAGCCTGGTATCCTAGCAATAAAACCCATGACCTGAGAAATGGAGTGCATTCTGCCTGCTCAGCTCAGAGTGCTATGTGAACACAGTGTAAATACTATGAAATAGAGGTTGTAGATTGGCAGAAAGGAATAAAAGAGATCAGCACTCAGCACGTAATAAAACATCAAAGACAGCCACCTGGAGCAAAATCATCAATTTCCTTTGGAAGATGAATTTTCTTAATAGCATTTGATATATATATATATATATATATATATGTAGTAAGCAGAAATGGGGTATTTTGGAACCTCAAGTAACCTTTTCCTCTTATTCTCCATATTTTACTTTCATAAACCTCTTTTCTTTTTTCCTCATCGGTCAGTTTATTCACTCAACAGATTCTCTTTTGAGTTCCTAGGACTCCACATTCACTTTACTCAGGGAAAAGTTCATTCTTGTTCAATTTCCTTATGAAGAAGAGAATTATTTAAAATCTGACGTCACATGTCCTCTCTGGAGTGCATTTTTGACTCTTTACTGCATCATCTCACTCCTCAAGACATTTCTCCTTAGGGAGGTTCAATAAATGCTCAGCTGCCTCCCACAAAGGAAGTCTGAGGCAAGATTCAGACCCACCATCCACCCAGAGGCATGTGTTGTTCCCTCAGACTCCTGGCATAGCAGTCTGAGAGACTTACCAGTTCTAAATGATTGATTTGCCCTTCCACTAGCATCCCATCATCATTAAAATCAGGGGCAGAAAAGAAATAAGAAGAGGGGAAGGGGCTGGAGAAAAGAAAAAAGAAACAAAGGGAAGGGAAGGGATGGGGAGGGAAGGAAACAAAATAGCCATTTCACCCCACTCGTCTGAGGCAAATAATTCAGTAGGTCATTTTTTTTTTTTTTTGCGGTATGCGGGCCTCCCACTGTTGTTGCCTCTCCCGCTGCGGAGCAGAGCACAGGCTCCAGACGCGCAGGCTCAGCGGCCATGGCTCACAGGCCCAGCCGCTCCATGGCATGTGGGATCTTCCCGGACCGGGGCACGAACCCATGTCTCCTGCATCGGCAGGCGGACTCTCAACCACCGTGCCACCAGGGAAGCCCAGCATTTGATATTTTTAAAAAAATGCTTTTGGCATTTTTTTTGGTGAACGGCATATAAAAATGACAAAGCCTTTAGAAACAGCACATATGCTTTAGGGAAGCATGTGGAACGCTGAAGAGAACACAGACTAATAGGATACCTGGGTTTGACCTGCAGCTCTCCTGAGTGCAGAGATCCCACACCCAAGTCCTTTTTGTTCTCTCCAGGCCTCAGTTCCTCATGTGCCACTGCGAGTTGGGGGGTGGTGGAAAAGGGTAGGCTGGATAATGCCAGGCATCATCCCTTACCGCTATTTAACTCTATCTATGGCTAGTTCTACTGTATTTGGAAGGCAAACTTATGGTTTGATTTTCATTTGAGGATTGTTATTAGATTATTTGAGGGAAAAGAGTCAGAACTTAGTTCTGTGATGATCACCATTGCAGCATCGTCCTCGTTCATCAGATGTAACAGGAAACGTTTGTTGATAACTCTAAGCCAAGTACTGTGCTTTATGCAGACTTTCTCACTGCGTCTTCATAGCAGTCCCTTGAGGTCATAATTATTACGTTGCACAAATGAGGAAACTAAGGCGTCGGGAGGTAAGGTCAACTGCCCAAGGTCATAGCTAGAAAGTGGCAGAGCCAAGAACTGGACCCAGCAGTCTGACTCCCAGATGTTCTTAACCCGTTTGTCTGAGTCATAACCTCACAGTCCTCAAACCTCAAGACAGGTTTGCAGGGTGACAGGGGTGGAGAAAAAGGAAGCTGTAAGAAACCCATAAAGCAACTCACTGTGGATAAACCATATGACTCTGACTTCATTATGTAACTGAAACAGCCCTTAGTTATCCGAGTTTCCCCAAATAAACAGTTCCAATTTCCTTTATTGGTCTGGGCAGGACTTTTTAATCTCGGAGCCTGAGGACATACACACCCGCTCTCCAAGGAAAACATAACAGAGGGAAGTATTTGTTTTGCTCTGTTTCACAAATGTAACATATTTCAATGGGTCTTTCTAAAGAGTAATACTTTGGAAAATTAATTGAAAAAATTGCAGTTTTTTAGGAAAGGAATTTAAGATATATGTAGTAGTAAAAATTACATTATTTGAAAATGAATCCAATTTTTAAAAATTGTGTACCACAGATGTAATTATATAGCTGTCACTTACTGAACACTTATTACAGGCCAGAGACTGTGCTAAACACTTAAAAACATTACTAATTCCATTCTTAATGAGCTAGGTGTTAATAACCCTATTTTATAAAAGAGGAAACTTGAGATTTCTCTGAAAGGTTTAAGTAAATTGCCTGAGGTCACACAGCCATTAACTTGTACTACTGGGAATAAAACTCATTATCTAACTGACTCCAAATTATGTCCTACACTCCTCTCAATATATTGCTATAGATTTAGATCATTACGAAGTATTTAGAGGAGTTTCTTAATTTAATTCAATAGCAACCTGAACAACAGTTTTATCTAATTACCCTTATTTACACATTGTTGGAACACTGAAAATCATAACTTTCGACAAAACTGGCCGCCTCGTCTCACCCCACCAAAGCACATTCACAGCAAATTCTATGAAAGCAACATTCTCTCTTGAGTTCTAGCATCAGCTAATGGATGTGTAGGGCTAGTGGACAGGTAGGGAAGTACAATTTTGAAAGCTAGTATAATTTAATTCATGTTAATGAACTAATGAGCTCACATTATGTCATCTTCCTTGATGAAGCTGAGAACATTTAATATTAAAATTCAGATTTCTATTTTCCATAAAAGGGGAATCATATTGGAATTGTTTTCCCTTCACCTGATCTAATGAGAACTGGAATTCCAGCAAAGAGAGCTACCTATGCATAACAGAATGTTTTGTTTCCTGGCAGACAATCTGGGAAAGCACAGAAACTTGTTCTGGTGCCTTCTAGGATTAAAGGGAAGCTCTTGGGATTAGGATGGGAGGGGTCCTGGGAGAGCACAGATAGAGGGACCCTGCTGGTGGGAGCCATGTTGGAATCCAGTGGCAGCTTGTTAGCCTTTTGATGGCTTGATTGGGATAAGCCTGCTGTGGCTGCAGGCTTGAGGTGCCGACAAAGCCCAGGATGTCAACCTGCTGGCCCATGCTGCCCTGCAGTCTGACCATCCTACCTATTGGGGCTAGGGTTGCAGGGCTACTGCAGGTGGGAGCAGATGTGCAGAGGTTCAGTCCTCTTTCACTGTAAATAGAGGTGTGAGGATTATGAAAAATGGCCTATAAAAGGCACCTTCCCAAAGCTATCTCAAGACTAAGAAGAGCTCAGAAAAGGGACAGTTACTAACAGATCATCATCAATTCTCTGGCTTCATGGATGGAGCAGTGGATGGCGAGGGCAGGGGCTGGGCACAGAGAATGCCAGCAATGGTAAGAACTTGTATTCTGACTGGAATTCAGATCCTGTACATCTCAAGTTTCCAGAAAAAGAGTGCTATTAATTTCCTGAACTGATACAGAAATATACCATTGGCCAGAAGTAGAATAAGAAGCTCTTGGGGGGATTTCATGTCTAAAAATACACAACCATGACAGCAAAAGCAGTAATTGAGTGGGGAGTAGGTTTAAGTGAGAAATATCCCCAAATATCCTTATGCTGTCCTTATGTATTTTAAAAATCATTCACAAATAAGGTTCCAGTAATCTAGAAATACATATGTAGTATATAGGCTGCATTTACTTGGCCTTGAGCCTACTTAACACTACCCTGCTGGGAAGCATTAAGAAAAGTGGTTGCTGAGGACTATTTATTCCATGCCCTGCATCTGCTCCCTTTTTATTGTGGTAACAATCTTTTTTGTTTGTTTTTTCTTTTTTCTTCCTCTTCGAGAAATACTCTTCCCCAGCACTGCATGTCATCTTGATGGTCATGTCAGTTAAAATGCCCTGTCCTCCCTTTTACTCTTGGGAAGTGGCACAAGGACAGAAAATGGCCTGTGATGGTTTGTCCCAAAGGCTGCAGCCTGAGGAGACATCCACAGTTCCTGCTATCAAGAGCTATCCTTTCTGAAGCCTGCTTGTTCCTTCAGTTCTGTGAGCTACCTATATCTTTCCAACAATTTCTTTCTTTTTGCTAAAAGAAGCCAGTCAGTCTTTGCTGCTTATAAAGCCCCTCACATGGTACTTTTAAATATTTGAGAGAAAGAACTTTGAAACAAATGAGGTATGTGTGTACGCACTGAGAAAACTGAAAATCTGTTCTCATGGTGGAAGTAACTTTGAGTTTGTGTCTGTTTTGTGTCATCTACTAAGAGGCAGCTGTGGTATGGAGAAAAAGACCCCTGGATGTGATGAGTCACGTCACTCCCGGTCCTTAATTTTCTCATCTGTGGAATGGAGAGATTTAACTAAGTTATCCCCAAGATCCTTTCCAGCTCGAAAATCCAGTTATTCTATAATGAAGTGATCTGAATACATGCTTAGTAAATTGCAGAGCTAAAAATTCCAGTAAGCATAAACCCGAGGTCTTTTCTCACATCAAGCCTCTTGCGGGTTAAACAGTAATTTTCCCCGTTACCTCAGTTCTCTTCTCAAGGGCATCCGTGCCAAAGGAGAATTGAGGGTTTCTCCTTTCTGCCATCAATTCACATTGGCCTCATGGCTGAGGCAGAAATCACAGTGCTATCACCAGGAGAATACAGTGCTGATTTCAGGGAAATGAATAAGCAAGCTCAGAGAGGAAGACTTTATGTTAAAAATTCTGTCAGTTTAGAAATAGGGGGTGGCAAATCCAGCCTCAAACACAGAGGTCCAATTGTCTTTTCAGTTTGCACTGCTACACCCAGTGTCTGACAAGAAAGCCCTGGTGTGTGTCCACTGCCTGGCCTGCCTAGGGAGTTGGCCAGATCGTATTGCTTCTTGGCTTCACATTGTTTTACATTTAGGGTAACACAGCCACTCCACACTCAGAACAGGAAATGAAGACTCCAAACATACTGTTAGGATTTAATAGTGAGAATGGAAAAAAGAATAGCTGCATAAGAGAAAGACTTTAACCAACAGTTTTTCCAAACCTCTCTCTTTCTTTTTCTTTTCTTTTTTTTTTTTTTTTCCTGGCCCAAATACCCACTTTTTAAACAGATGAGCAAAGTTTATTATAAACAAGAAGAAAAGTGATTTAAAGGGTCACAGGATCCTGGGCTTATTGCCTGCCACTGGGGTCACCCAAACTTACTCTAAGAAACAAAGCTATTAGAACTGGTTTGATTACTCCTTAGTTTTGTCATTTCACCAAATCTCACTGGACCCATGAGGAAAGTCATTGCCTTCAGGCTCACTCAAGCACAGAAGCACCCCTGCTAGCTGTGAGCAGGCCAGCTAGGGCTGGTAAACTGTCTCCTTTGTTTAAATTAAACATCCCTTCCCTTTTTGTCCTTTTGGATTTCAGTCCTTTTGGACCTTCATGTCCTGGCTGGATCTTCAGTCTGATCAGAAGCCCCTTCCCCATCTCCAGATCCTGGCTCTGAACTTGGGATGTTATGATTGACAGGCCTTGCACAGGGTGACTGGAATCATAAATCTAACTCTTGACCTGTACTGTACACATGATTGGCCATAAACCGGCTCTTTTACCTATACTTGGGGCACAGACATCTCTTCAAAACCCGGAAGCCTTCTAGGATCTGGAAAAGGATAGCTTCCAACACCAGATAAAACTTTAATGAGTCAGAAAAGAATACAGAATCATAAGCTGCCTAGGAAATCTGCTTAGCAGCCCAGCTAAGAAGAATGCATAGTTTTATGGAAGAAGTGTGATAGTAGAGGAGAAAGATGGAGTGAACTGGGTCATGCATGTTTGTTAAGTACTTTGCTCAAATATTTTTGCTTTTCTGGTCCCCCATTCCCCCATCCCTCCCCATCATCATTCCTATCACATAACAAAAACCAGCCCTTCATAGGGAAAGTGAATGTGGAACTTTGATCCCAGCTCTTTCACAACCATGTGGCGGTTTTCACAGAAGAGAAGGCCCTGCCTACCTGAGTTTTTGTCAGGCAGTCGGTTTATCCTCCACACAATGGAGTTGAAGGCATGCTCATACTTTGCAGTTCCCAGAGTTACTCTCATGACAGGCTCAGAGCCAGACAAGCTAGTTGAGCCAAAACTTGCCCCCCGGTTCACTTTGGCTTTCAGAGACTTTTCCCCCAGGACACTTTCCCTGCGGAAGTTTTTCACCCACTCACTGGGCACAGGGTAGCGAACCATCACATTCTCACAGGGAACCTGAGTGAGAGGATCACAGTTAGAGGAGAAGCCAGATGACATCCTCAGCCAGCTCTGTACCTCCACCTCTGCCCCACTGATGCTTGCCACAGTCGTGAGTGTGAATGGCAAGGTCTTCTCGGCAAATACTGTCCTGAACCTCATTAGCTCAAGTCGGCAGGCGTCCAAAGGGTTGAACAGAATAACCCGTGAGCTGTTGAATACATCCTCGTCCACACACCTGTGAAAATGGCACTCGTGGAGCTTGATCCACTTTGTGGTGGTGGTGGGCATGATGTCTTGCCGGGAAACGATTTCGTTCCCTTTGACGAGGACATCATTGAGACCCAAGCGGCACTCGGCAAGGCCAGAGAGGAAACTCAGGATGTGGACCCGTGTCAAGACACGGTGCTGGAGAATCTGGTTGTCTCCTTTGCTCACAAGGCCAGAGAATTCATCTCGGACATCCACTGCAATCTCCTCTTCAAGGTAGTTCAAGCCAACTGTGCACAAGTCCATTGACAACACTGGCAGGTCCATGAGACGGTCCTGAACCGCACGGATGAAGCTCAGGAAGTCATCGTAATTGGTGGTGCCCAGCTTAATCACTTGTTCCCTCTCGGCCACGTGGGCCACGGCAGGTTTAGGCTGGTATTTCTTCTTCTCCTTGTAGGTGACGCGGTCTATCCGCAAGCTATGGATCCTGCCGTTCTCATCATAGTTTTGGAGCCGGGGCTCTGAAATCTCATGGCAGATCTCCAGCTTGAACTCACGGAATGGCTTTTCTAAGCCCTTCTCATAATACAGCTGCAGATACCCGCTGTCTGTCAGTTTGATGTAGATGGGTCCCCAGTGCCTAGAGGACATGATGTTTTTCTTCTCAGGGATCCTAAGCATCATGGGCCAACCATCCTTGGGCTGGGACAGTGCGGAACCTGGTGGGTGGTCATCTAGTTCAATCCAGGCTATTGGGTCATCATCAGGGAGTGTTGTACTCCCTAAGTGATCAGGATCCTCAAGTTGGAGTCGTTTGAGTTTTTCAACAGCATCAGAGTGTGACTGGTTTTTGCTTGAATCATCAAAACTGATGGCATCCTTGTAGATGACAATGAGAGAATCTCTTTGGCTTTTGCCTGTGGTACCAGACATGGAATTGTCTTGGGAGCGCCTCTCCTGCTCCTCAAAGAAAGCGCGGAAAGGGTTTATAGGGGAGGGTTGTACATCCTGCAGAGTCTCATTCAGAAAAGGATTGGTTGCCCTCCAAAGAGGAGCCTCAGGCACAGAAGGCGGATGGTTTAAGGAGGTAATGTCCAGCTTCTGAACTTTGGAGAAGTTCATCAAAGTGCTCTTGGGACGTTCCCTCTTCTTAAATGACCCAGTTGAGTTATAAGGTACATCTGGGATCACAGATTCAAGAGGTGGTGTTTTCGGCTTCAGAGGAGAGGTGATTGGTGGCAAAGGGCTGCTGACTTCATTGTCATCAAAAGTGACCCAGCTAGGGAAACGAGCAGAGGTCACTAGAGTGGCGGGATGTCCGTTCATAGCTGGACTGCTGGCCTGCCAGTTGATGGCCTCCATCTCTACCTCTTCATCTTCCTGAAGAGAGGAAGAATTGTCTAAAAGGAAAAGGAGAACATATGAGGGACTGCTATTCAGGGCCTCTAGAGGTATAGGAATGAGGGATGACTAGAATTTTAAATGGAATCCAGTAAATTACAAAGCATTTCATTACTTGTCCTCAAGTCTTTTGTCTGGGCACAGCTCTCACAGTTTTGTAATAAGCACACCAGTTTTGTAGTAAGCAGTAAGAATACAAATGTCAATACAGAAGCACTGATAGGACCCAGGTCCCTTGCAATTTAACTCTTATACATTCTCCCTTTATTTTATCGAAGTTTCTGGAATAGATTTTTTTTCTTGACTCTAAAGTATGTATTCTTATATTTTTAAACATTGAAAACTACCTCCTACATAAAATGATATAAAGCTGATCTCATTGAACATAATAAGCCATATGCTCTAAGTGATAATATGATTGCAAATAATGTAATCGGAGAGATTTTTACCCAAACGTGGTAAATAAATATTAAGACAATGTTAACATCCTTAATATGAAATAAATTTACACAAGTGAATGACAAAAATACAAAAACTTGAAATACAGGCAAAGGACATATACAGACAACCCAGGAAAGAGAAAGGAAAAATGTCTAATAACCATGTAGAAAATGTTCAGTCTCACTAGTAATAAGAAAAACGTAAATTAAACCCCAAAAATCAGTGAAGATTTTTAAAGTTTTAGTATTCGATGAGGGTAAAGGTGCTATAATATGAACAGTAAATAGACCCTTAATGGGACCATAAGTTGCTACAAACTCTCTGAAAATGGTTTGGCAATTTGTATTAAGGGTCTTACAAATATTCATGAACAATGACTTAGTAATCTCACCCTAAGGAAATAAATCCAAATTAGGAACCAAGTTTTGGGTGAACGTTAAGAAATTGAGGCATACAATGGAATAACACGCAGCCATTAAAATGTTTACAAGTGGGCTTCCCTGGTGGCGCAGTGGTTGAGGGTCCGCCTGCCGATGCAGGGGACACGGGTTCATGCCCCGGTCTGGGAAGATCCCACATGCTGCGGAGCGGCTGGGTCCGTGAGCCATGGCCGCTGAGCCTGCGTGTCCGGATCCTGTGCTCCGCAACGGGACAGGCCACAGCAGTGAGAGGCCCGCGTACCGCAAAAAAAAAAAGTTTACAAGTTCACATAACATGAGAAAATGCTCCTGACATTAATCTCTTCTTTTTTTTCTAAAACACTTTCCCATCTTGGGGTTTAATTTATGGAAAAAAAAAAAATATTACAAATAAAACTCCACCCTAGCAGGGCCATCGAGGAAGGAGATACAGGAGTTGAGTTTCCATGCAGGAAGACCCAGACCTTTTCAGTAAAGACGCTGTGTGTCTGCTGGGGTTATGTGAAGGAGGAAGAAATGAGGCCTTTACAAAGCAAGGAGTGGATTCTGAGGAAGGAATGGCACAGAAAACAAATCTGTATCTGGCATATAGTAAATGCTCAGTGAAGGACTGTTAATTGAATGAGTGCGAAAAGAAACTTTGCTTTGGAGCAGTTCTATTCTCTCTGTCTCTGAAGGAATGTGTATGGGGATCTCTGCCGCCATTCCACCCACTGTTTTAATCCCAGAAATTTGGAATCAAAGAGAAATGAATACTCAAATGGTTAAGTCAAATAGTTGGCTTTTCTTACCATCCTGCTAAATCTTCACGAATATCATATCCAACCACACCAAATCAGCAATGTCACATATAATTAAACATGTAATTACACATGGATGGGATGGCTGCCTCTCATCCATCTCTCAAAGTATATTTATTCAAACAAATAGCAATTACCTCTACTGAAAACATCAGTTTGAAAATATAAGCTAAATACATGCATGAGTGAGCATACATACATACCCACACTCGCCCCAGAAATATAATGAGCAAAAAGTATTTTCTATATATGCAACATCACAAAAGAATTTCAAAGCATTTTAAAATTAAAGATGAGACTCTCCTTCAAATTAATCATTAATCCACTTTTGTAGATGCATAAGTAATTTATTTTCTAGAAAATGAAGGGAAAAGGGTCAGAAAACAATCCAGGTTTGTAGGACTTACATTTTATTACTACTACAACTGCTGCTGCTGTTGTTGTAATGAAGCCTAAAGGGAACAATGTGGCCCTGAGTAAAATACAATCACTTCCTTGGAACAGTAACTAATCCTCCCTAGAGAACTGGCAAAAGGGGTGTATCACAAAATGCATCACTTTCTAATGAAGCAGCTCTATGGAGCTTTTGTAAGCAGTATTTCCACCCAGACAGTCTGGTATTGACCCACCCCTTGTGCCAGGGATATATCCTTTTTGCCTTGGAGCTCATTACTACTCCCTAGTTCAAAACGTGCCCTAAGTCCTTTTCCTTTGGAGGGTGGCTTTCTGCCAAAGCTGTTTATTCTTGCTGCTAAAGGATTCTCTTCTGTTGGGAGACTTGTCCCCAAAAGAGCACTTCTCATCTTCCTCTCTCAAACGAAAAAAAGGGGGGGAAAAAGGCCTTTGTCTCCACTGAAGATAATTTTCTTACAATAAATTTGTTTTTAAGCCAAGTTACTTGAGATCACACCAAGTCCTACACAGTTGTGAAGCATTTGACTCAATACAATTTAAATGAAGTATCTTTAAATTTGGGGGGAAATTTTTTGAATTAAATTAATTTCTAGAGATTCTACATTCTTTTAGACAGCCATCAAAAGTTTTCAAAAGACTTATAAAGTCTCTCCTTTGGCATTTTCATCTTCCATGATTACAACCTGTTTTAAAAATCCATTCTTTGGGATGATAGTGGGGTATAGGTCAAATTTCTGAAAATGAGAATTTGTTTTTCTACAAAATCATTTATAAAGAAAAAATATCTTAATAAAGACACTTTTATAGGGCTTCCTTGGTGGCTCAGTGGTTGAGAATCCGCCGGCCAAGGCAGGGGACACGGGTTCGATCCCTGGTCCGGGAAGATCCCACATGCCACGGAGCAACTAAGCCCGTGCACCACAGCTACTGAGCCTGCGCTCTAGAGCCCGTGAGCCACAACTACTGAGCCCGTCCCATGACTACTGAAATGCAGCCAAAAAAAAAAAAAAAAAAGACACTTTTATAGATGAAAAGCAAAAGTGATCCATAGTTCATATAGGTCATAGTGGTTCATATTTTCATATGAAAATAAAGCATTTCTTGAGGTGAACCTAAGGACCGCCAAATAGTACTTTTAAAAATTATCCCCTGTTAACACTGACTTCCCTATTTGTGAGTTCTTAATTTTTTTTCATTTATCGCTGACTGAAGGACATCCTCAATTGTTTTTATAAAGGTTAAGTCATATATTTTCTGAGCCTCTTTTTATTAAAGGATGGTCTTTGAGACTTTCACGTATAAAAAAATTGACTTAATCTGTATGTAAAATTTCTTGGAGAAAATATTTGTATAAGGCAAAAATTCGACCTCTTTAACATATAATGACAGTGTATCCTTAATAAAAATGATACACCCTCGCAATAAAATAGGATGAAAACAGACTATTCACTAATGAAGAAATATAAATATCTAATAACTCTTTGGAAAAAAGAGTTTAACCTTATAAAAGAATAAATACAGGACTCCCCTAGTGGTCCAGTGGTAAAGAATCCGCCTTCCAACACAGGGAACGTGGTTTGATCCCTGGTCAGGAAACTAAGATCCCACATGCCGCGGGGCAACTAAGCCCGTGCGCCTCAACTAGAGAGCCCAAGTGCTACAAACTACAGAGCCCACGTGCTCTGGAGCCTACGTGCCACAACTAGAGAGAGAGAAGTCCGCGCGCTACGACGAAAGATCCCACGTGCCACAACTAAGACCCAACGCAGCCAAAAATTAATTAATTAATTAATTAAACATTTTTTTGTCGGTACACGGGCCTCTCACTGCTGCTGCCTCTCCCGTTGCGGAGCACTGGCTCCGGACGCGCAGGCCCAGCGGCCATGGCCCACGGGCCCAGCCGCTCCGCGGCATGTGGGATCCTCCCGGATCGGGGCACGAACCCGTGTCCCCTGCATCGGCAGGCGGACTCCCAACCACTGCGCCACCAGGGAAGCCCTAAACATTTTTTTTTAAAAAAGAATAAATACAATTCTCCCTGTGTCAGAGAGACAAAGATTTAGAAAGAATAATAATCATTACTGGTGACACGTGGAAATTTACACTCTATAATGTAAGTGTTAAAAAATCTTTCTGGAAGGCAATTTGAAAATTTGTACAAGTCTCAAAAAAAAAATCCAATAATTCTACTTATAGGCTTTATCTAAGGAAAGAACAAGACAGACATGTAATGATGTATATATAGTGGTATGTTTATCATAACAGTGTTTGTATCATGGAAAAATTGGAAACAAATATCCAATAATGGGAGATTGGTTAAATGGAATCTCATGCATCAATCAAGACAATGCTGTGGATGATGTTAATTCACTGGAAGCTGATCATGATATATATTGTTGAGTGAATAACAAGAGCCTACAGTGTGGAGTCAGACTGCCTGGGTTTCAATTCCGTGTCTGCAGCTTATTAGCTATGTGACTGGGCAAGTTGTTTAATTTCTCTGCGTCTCAGCTTTCCCACCTATGAAACTAGAAGAATATTAAATCCTACCTAACAGGGTTGCTGTGAAAATTTAATACAGATGTTAGAACTGTATTTGGCAAATAATAAATGTTCAGTAGATGTTAGCTGCTATAACTACTGCTGCTGTTGCTACTGCTGCTAGAATGATACATATTCATGATATAAAGTGTATATATGTACTAAAAAGCTTTTTGATGTGAAAACAAATGTCTCATGTGGAGTAAGAGGTGATTTTTAAAATTCTAAATCTGTATTCTTTCTTTTAAGAAAATGCTGTATTGCTTACAAAATAAAGAAATATTGAAAGGTCAAAACCTATCTTTATTCCTCCCACTGATTACCCTTAGAGCAAGAAAGCCAACAGCTTCACTGTAGTCCATGTTTATAATGCAGCAGTTAGAT